AAAAAACTGTGAAATGCATACACGCATCCATATGCAAAGTAACTTTTAACCAAGGAACTCATGAACGCAACATCAAAACGGTAACATTCGAGCGGTTTTGCGATCTAGCTTACCATCTTCGAATTCTTCAAGCATATAATCGATAACTGACCACAAGCGGAATGCTACGACAAAATACAGACGATCGATAATAACACACATGGTCTCCATGATGTCATACACTAAAACAACTAGCTGATCTGAAGTAGTGCGAATGAAATTAAGTCGGTGATCGATTGTTGCTGACAGCCCCCCACTGACAATATCTATTCAGACAAAACCCAAAGGAACTGTGAAATGAAAACCTAAGAAGCAGAGTACGGTTGACTCAAGCTTGTAGAGTATCGTCAGAGTACGAATTTATTGACCGAATGGCATAATTGCGAATATGGGACCCCCAGGGGAATCTCTAACCATCTATTCACTTCATACGCAAACAGCTGATCAGACCGGTCAAGACACCACATAGTACAACCCGAGTGTGTAAACACAACTGCTGCTTCGTCAGAACCTCTACTATGAGCAAACTTCAGTATATATATATATATATATATATATATATATATATATATATATATNCATCAAAAACACAAAAATATATCTGACGTAGTGCAGTATTCACCGTGAGTGTGCGCGTCCGTTTCTCGTTCAAAAAAACTGACTGACCGTGGGAAATGAAGCGGATCAATTGCAGCGAAAGATCAGTATAGTTCAGTTCATTTTGTTCAACCGTTAGTCAAACACGTTCGAGCACCGGTTTTGGTTTCTGTTTCCTGCCTATTCCTTTGGATGAAAGGGTAGATCCTCCTGAGGTCCCCAGCCAGGGAGTTCAACGAAACCTATACGATCGAGTTTGCCGGCAAGTGTTTCTATACCTTCATACCAGGTCTTATTTTCATCACCCTTTGTTTTTTCCACCCAGTGCCTATGGAAAAAATCGCGCGCCATAATAATCTATCTAGTGACAAGTGTAATATATTATTTACTATATATATATATATATATAAAGTTCTTTTATTGCGTTAGAATTTCTAATTTCAGCTTATCCTGTTGCGTAGTTCCATCACGATTGCTTTGGTCTCGCTAACTGATCAATCAATCATCTTTCATCAGTTCGAAACCGATTCTCAAAGTTCTTTTGTTCAGAGTAAAAAATCTGCACAGATTATACCTCGTACAAGTCATGTTGTTACTTTCATGCTCTGTGGGACAGAGAAGAAAGTGGTGCTGGTTAGTGAGGACAGTCACGATTTATATGAACTTATCAGTTGAGACTGACTCCATCCATCTGTGATTTATCCGTGGTACATAGTTCAGGGCGTGACAGTGTCATGATCACTCAATGGTGATTGGCCCACCTGAAAAGATTAGACGACATCCCATAACACCCTGTCAGGAGGGATGCGATAATCAGATTATTTATTTCTTTTTAAGAAAAGAGACGATTATGTTCCCATGCAAAGTTCATTTGCACGTCTCTGACCACTTTTCGGATCGGAAACTATCCAAATAACTTCAAGCTGTGGCCTTAGATGATATTCTTGTTCTCGTTCTGCTTCAATACTCACGGAATGTTTGCTTGGTCGTGTCAGTTATTGATCGAACCCCAATGGAAGTTACCGCATAGAAAATGCATCTGTGCACACACGATCATCAACTGTCGCTACAGTGTGGCAGTGTGCCAGTGTCCGAGTTCTATGTTACGCCATACCCTTCTACAAGTGCGTGTGTGTGTGTGTCACATTAGCTAACAGCAACCAAGTTACCAAGTTATGTGACCCATCTCTTATCACTCTGACCCTGTCAGCTGCTATTCCTGTTCCACAATAAAAATGTGCTAAACATACGGGTGCAACAGTATCTCCGAGATCCCCCAAAAATATATAGTCAAATTTCCCCGGGTAGAGGTTCCAACACCCCCTTATCACTGATAGCTTCAAGCTATCAACACTGGAGAGCTGCAAAGTTTTCATTGTGTATGGTATCTGCGGTTGTTAAAAACAGGTATATCGATTTGGATCTTTCATAATCTGACTACTCATACACCATTCTATGTTGTGTGTGTCTATGTGAACATTATAACTTCCAAATTCATTAGTCTAAGGCAATAAATCTCTTTTGACAAGACTGTATTCTAATATAAAACGATATACTGACTCATACGACCTGGAGAGGGCAGGGGAACGATTGCATACCTCGTGTAAGGGATAAGCAGCGATGAAAACCCCGTCCGAGATCAGCTTTGTAATACCAATGTTCAGATTGCGATTTTTTTCACCCCAACTCTTCATTTCCGGGGCCGTAGGGTCTATAATGAAGCCGGAGAGAGAGGGAGGTAGATTGGTTTTAGCCATAAAAAGAAAATGACAAGAGTACCGTTTTCGTGTTCTTCGTATTTTGGCATCGCGTTCTCTTCGTCCTCTGCTTCCGCAGCCGCCGCCGCTTCGTCGTCATCATTTTCGATGAAGCAATGCGCTCGACGTAAGATATAGTCAAGCACCAGGGCACGCTCAACCTCACTGAAAAATTCATCCCGATTGGGAGGTATATCAAATCTGTATAAAAAATCAGGGTGGGTTGCCGAGACAATGAAAGACTCTCATAAGCATAGTTAAAAATCCAGTGCGGAGTAGTAGAAAAACTGAATACCAATACGAACTTGACAAATTACCAACTCAACAAAGGCACGGGAGTGATTCGATCATACGGGACTGAGTCCACACACAGAAAAGAAGAGTGACAATGCGAGCTGAGAACCAAGCACTTCAAAAGCTAGAAAGCGAGAATAATAACAGACACGACCTGAACAACAATTATTAGTGTGGGAGAAGGCTATAATCCGAGAGCGAGAGTCAAAACGCTTCAAACCGACTGCGTAAACGAATCTCCGATTTAAAAATTCAGAAACAAAACAAACTAGTGCAATACTTTCACTGAACGGCTCTCCACACTGTTCGGTGACCTAGTTCTAAGCTGTGCCCGATGACGTGTGTCAGTTTGACGCCATTGGCAAAGATAACAATACCTTTTATGAAATTAAAAATAGGTACACATGGCAACGTCAACCAGCCCATTTTCCGAAGATTGCACGTCTTTCGTAGAAAAAAAATGAATTGCGTCTGCATCAGATAAACACCGGGAGTGAAAAACGCAGGTTTGCACGATGTATTCTGGCTCATCATTTCGCCGCATCTGTACACGTGCATACTGCAGTTTATGTGATCATTAATATATCGTCAGAAATAACAGAATCATAGGCGGAGAAAGACTGCGGTCAAAATCAACCACCAAACACATTTGTTACTAAGGTGAAGCCAGAGTGAAGTCATTCACGCTATTTACACAGTTGGGGATGGTAGTTTTGAATGGCTATCGCCACGGCTTACTTTTGACCCCCGGCGTTGTTTGTGTTGTAGAGGATTCTGAACGCATCACGCCGCATGACACAGTGCTTCAGTTCGACCAGGTGTTGTGTCGCGGATGCATTAGGTTTCTTAGGAGTTTCCGTCTAGGTCTTTGTTATTACTGATCGTCTAAACTGATGATCACATAAACTGAAGTACGTGCATGTGTACAGAAACATCGAAATGATGATCCAGGGGATACATTGAGCAAACCTGTGCTGTTGACTTCTCCATTCAACTTCCTTAAAAGGAAACTGTACTTCCGAGCACCGTAAAACCTGTAGAACATTTGGAAAACATTATTGTACCTCAATGTTTGTTCAGTTCAAACGAAGAGAACATTCAATCGGACTGCAAAATCATTAATCTGTTCACCCCCGGTTAAGCCCAACACATTCACTGATATTACCACACCAAAAATTACAAAAAACGAAAACACGGTCAGAATGTGTTTAGGATAGAATTTTCGCATTGACCTATATATTATATGTATATATGTTTCACACACGTCTGAAGCCAGAACTGTGTGCCAAGCAAATCACGATACAAAAATCTTTATAAAAAGAAAAAAGTTCCATGATTTGCTTGTGGGCGGTATACTGCCAGGTTGCCCAGGCCGAGGTAGGTGAGTTTTCTTAAGGAATCCACAACCGGAGCCTTTGGCTAGCCAAAGGCTGACCCGCAAGGCAACGGGACGGTGTGCGAAAACCGCAATCCATTGGAGGTCAGTGTCTAAATCATCAGATCATACGCCTTTGGACGGGGTCAAACGTCCAAGGTGCCCAATACACCTTGATGCCCAATCCAGGTAGTGATCATTGACACAACTGGAAAGGTGTGTAACTCGTATGCCTCCTCATGGTTGGTTTGCAATCAGGGTTTTTGGCTAACTCCCCTAGATGAACTACCAGTGGTTCACCAATCCGGTTGTAGCCCCGGATGTCGGCTTTCGTTGCATGCGTTTCGTGCGCCGGTTTTAATTGCTGTCTTGTGGTTGCCCATTTGGATAAAAGAGCAAAATGAAGATTGGAACGTCGAAGCACATTCAAGCGGAAGATGGGGAATTCACATAGAGTGGTGTTAGGAGAATAACGAGTGGATGCACGAGCGCCATTGTTTACGACACTTAGCCATATCACTCAGTGTCTCTAACCGCTGGTTACGATCATCCCGAGGTCCTCATCCAGGAAGCCTAACAGGATCTATGTTACCCAGTCCCCTGGTTAGGCTTTTCATATTCTCGTGCCAGGTCTTAGATAGATCACCTACCTGCCTCCGCGAAAATCGGTCGTCGTGACAATCTATCTGGTGACAGGCGTAACACGTGCCCTAACAAACGCAATCTATGGAGGTCGACCACTTGCTCCAGTGGGCGACCGCATTTACCTAAAACTCTGCTCCTAACCTCAGCATTGCTCGTCCGGCTACCCCGCCAGATTCGTGCAATGCTGCGTAGACCGTGGTGTTCGAACACTGACAATCTATTTTTATCCTGATTTCTTAATGGCCATGTTTCTGCGCCATATATCAGAACTGATGAAACCAATCGCTGATCAAATCGGTACAACGTATCACAAGTTGATTAGACTACATAACTCAATGGGGTTGGTCAAACCGCGCACACACACTCCTCACTGTTAATTTTTTTCTGCCAGAGTTGTTGCAAAAGCTTCGGAAAGAATGATCTCAAAAGATTATTTGCTTTATTTTGAAGTTTTCTGAAACGATACAGGTCCTAGCAGACATTCGACGAGAGAGGATAATGATTGCAGGACTGTTCGCGGTTTATTCATTCACTTCGATCAACACAAAACACGACGTTGTAAAAGTTGATATGAAACTGTGCTTGGTTCACATGACAGCGCATTTCACAATCGATTCTTCGAACCGGATGTGGACACGGTTTAAACGTCTGGCGACCACAAAAATTGAACTAATAGTTATACAGCCCATTGGTCAGGTTTGACATTTAAGCGAAAAATCAACTTTCACGGCATCAGGGCACCGCAGAATTTGACTTAAAGATCATAGATAAATTACGTCCTCGGACATTAAAAGATATGTCCAGACACAGAACAGGCGATCATTTTTTTATAAATCTACGTCAATCTGCGATGCACGGTACGGTCGGTCAAATCATAAATCGAATCCCCACTGCATATTGCCATAACATGGTTTTCAAACCTGCAACAATCAGGAGTCAACAATCTATTACATTGGACCTTTACGAAACCCCGGAAGTCCGTAGAAAGAGGAGCAAAGACAGTGGCTCATGTATTCCTACAGATTCGGAAAGAAACATTACTCGATTCTGACTAACTGAGTCGTTGAGGTATTTATTTTCATACCTTGCTTTGTTTTAAATACAAACGGATGACTCGAAATTTCAGTCTCAGTTAAAATAACCATTAACCATGTACTGCGAATTTGTCTCCTAACCATTTCCATAATGAAAGCGAGAGAAGATTGAAATGGTAAAAGCAACCTCAGGATGAAAATGCAGACCAAGGTAGCAANTCGGCTACACGGACCTCGAGGGTCTCATTCAGAAAGCCTAACACGATCGAAGTGAGTAAAGGTTTTTGTACTCTCATGCCAGGTCTGAATGTGACAGCTGTTTACTTTCTCCCCTGTAACCTGTTTCGGAAAACAGCGTGCTGTAGCAATCTGTTTGGTGACATGCGTAATAAATACATATGCCAACCAACGTAATCGGAGGTCGGCCACTTGCCCTAAGGGTNCGAACGGGTTTACCTGAAACTCTGCACCTAACCTCAGCATTGATAGTCCGGTTTTCCCACCAGACTCGGACAATGCGGCGGTGATGGTCACATTTCTGCACCGTATAGTAGCACTGGTAGAACGAATCTACGCAGTACTGGGTGCATGGTGCTCAAACATAGATAGTTTTCACGTGTAGCGTGTTTGCGACAGCCGGCACTGTCGAGGACATACCGAATCCGTCACGATAGCTAGTCATCGCCTAACTTTACCGGTTCTAATATTTTGCAACTGGAAGGTGTCAGCACTGTTCCTCACATCACAAACAGGGATCACCCCAGTAATAAAAGTCAAAATTTAATTACGGAAAATATCTACAAACGGTTACTTTTCCTGTCCCATAGGGTTTTTCGCACAACTGGATCATAGAAGGACAAGGAATATCACAAATTTTCTTTGTTTCGTGCACTACCACAAATGTCGAAATCGAATATTTTTCAAAGTTTCATCTAATTCATGCTTGAAAGAATCAATTGCGGGCGCACAAACATCGAGGGGGTGTTAGAAAAGCCCAAATACGGCACACTGTGGGCGAATAAGTGACACAGGCATCTAAGTAGACAGTTTTGGAGCATTAATTTGGATGAATGCCACATAAGGTGAGTGTTGGGCGACAAGGCGAACGATGAACGGCATGGGTGATCAGGGTTCTGTATTATTTGATACACCATTGTGGCAGACAATGTGATGAATCACTAGGAAATATTACAACGTATTATCCCCGGCTCAACATGGGTTTCGTCGCAGGCGATCTTGTACCACTAACCTGCGGTTGGCCCGAGAAGAGTGGACAAAAGCAGCTGATCACGGTGATCCAGTAGACNTACGGAATTCGGGGACTTGTACTGGGCTGGATAGAAGAAATTCTTAGACAACGCACTATGGCAGTTCGGGTTTCTGGTTCACTTTCTGATCCCATCAGCGTATCACGAGGAGTTCCACATGGATCCGTGCTGGGCTCTCAACTTTTCATTGTTTTCATAAACGACCTAACGGACATTCTCGGTCCACATACATCAATGTTTGCAGACGATGCAAAAATATGGAAAACGGTGACAACACCAGAGGATTGGCT